GTATCACCTTTCGAACTTGTAACCAATGTCCCGCGACATATACAGAGGATGGGAGTTCTCGGCTGTCAAAAGTTAAACGAGCCACATTGCAAGGGTAACGTCTCCGCCCACGGGCAGGAAGGACATAAGTGTCTACTTTGAGGATTGGGAGATCCTGGAGTTCCAGCTGTTCAAAAATGTCATTGCCACATGACTGGAAATTCTGTTGGACTATGGTATGGGGCAGAATAACAGTACCACTACAAGAATTGAAAGATGTTTTTCAATAGTGATAGGAGTAGTATCGATATTCGAAAGGAGAGAAAGATCATGAGCTTGGGTAGCATTCTGGACAGTGACGATGCGCGTACCGCTCGAGAGCATGAAATGAAATATCTCTACCAACATGACGGAGGAGCGCTTTGCCAATACTATGGTCAGAAAGATAGACAGAAGAAGAAGTCGGTCTTAAAGTAAAGAATTTAGTCCATTGTGTGGTCCGAAACTGAGTGTGGAGAGGGAGTGCATGACGTGTCGGTCTTTTCCGAGTAGAATGGGAAGGTAATGAAGGAGCATCATCAGGAGATTGACGTTGGCGTTTAGGAGTAGGACCGGAGTTGGTCCGGCGTGAAATGGGCTGGCGATTCAAAAATTGCCGTACCGTAGAGGGAGAGGCCGGAAGCATAGTCAAAGGAGAGCGGAGGTCAAACAAATCGAAGGAGTCAGTCGAAGCCCCGGTACCTGAAGCGGGTGAGGAAACAGCACCAGCAAGAGGTACAGGGGCATCAGAAGTATCCGAAGAGTGGTCTAAAAACAAGGCAGGGTCAGAATGGGGTGCGGTATCAAGAAGGGACCCGGGGTAGTGGGTTCATGGATTGGGTTCTCCATGGCTAGGTTACTCCTTTGCTTTTGTTTTTAAGGAAAAAAAAAAGAAGAAAATAAAATAAAAATAAAAAAGAGAATAAAAAAAGGGGGGAGCGAGGAGGAATAGTTCCCAGGAGGAATGAAAGGGCTGGAAATCTCCCTCCGCGCCCAAGAGGACCTCAGCACCACTAGTAGTGCAGATGCAGCATGGAACCTGTGCCATACCCTACCCTTCATGCCAATAAACCAGCAATCCGGGATAGCAACCTCACATCTGCCGAGCTACCTCGGTGGACAAAAGAGAGGGCGGCCGGATATCCGCCACAAAGCATACCTCCTTCGGCCACCACCCCCGGAATCCGAAAGGTGGCTTCCAGAGATATACCCGTCGCCCGAAAGACACCCAAAGCTACTCTGGGATACCGAAGAGGGATTGGGACATTCCCAGGCGATCCAGATTCCACGGCAAACTACGCCACCACCAAGAACCTCAACGGAATGGGATGGACCCCGGTATCCTTTCCCCTACCTAGGAACTAGTGCGCCTGTGGGAGAAATCCCAAAGGCCAAAAAGAGGAAGGGTAAAAGGGAAGGGTGGGGAGGAGGAGGAGGAAAGGAAAAAGGGGAGGATGGGATAGGGAGGGGGGGATTGGGGGGTAATTAGGTTCGGTCTGAGGAAGGAGACCGACAGGTCTGATTCCTCAGACCAAGAGCCTCTTCACCACAACAAGGAGCCCCCTTGAAGAGGCTGATAAGGAAAGATTACAGTGGACCCCCGCTTCACGATCACCTCCCAATGCGACAAATTATGTAAGTGTATTTATGTAAGTGCGTTTGTACATGTATGTTTGGGGGTCTGAAATGGACTAATCTACTTCACAATATTCCTTATGGGAACAAATTCGGTCAGTACTGGCACCTGAACATACTTCTGGAATGAAAAAATATCGTAGATGTAGATGACCATCGCCCTCCCTTTGTTTTTGCTGGTACACAAACATTTCTGTCTGTCTATTTGTCTGTCTGCCAAGCTCCCTGTCTATCGGTCTAGCTCTCTGTCTCAGAGAGAGCCACAAGACTGTGTCATCAGGAAAGTAGGAAGGAAGGAATGATGACACACAACCATTTACCTAGGATAACTACATAACACAACTGCCTGCTAATACTTTGCAGAAAACTGCTCAGACAGAGGTATTTTGTCTTTGCACATAAAAAAAAAGTCCACAAAAATGCAGACACGCTGGTTTTATGCGTGAGTGTAAAACACCATTGTGTATGAAAACATATTTCAAAGAGTTCCACAAGCTGCAGAACTTCTAGGAGTATGTTCCGTGACTATACATTGGTATATATATTATAGAACAATAGTAATAAACAATTTTTTGTATTGTTTGTTTTTGTAAACAAGTTTTGTAAACAATATATTGATAATTATGTTTGTGTGCTTAGTATGTTGTATACAATGAGTGTATATATGTACATTGCACCATACTTTGGTCTCATAGGCCACATAAGTTATGTGAAAAAATAAAATAGTGAAAAAAACAAAAAACCTTCAAATAGAAATAAACTAAAGTTTACCGGGTGAGTGGCAGTCGCCGCTGCTGCCATACACGGGTCATTTTCTGCAAATTTCACAGCTCTATATCTCGGTAAGTACTGATGGCAAAAAAATTTTTTTTTGGACTAAAACACTCAGCAAAATAATCTTAACATTTTCATAAGAAAAAAATCTTTTTTTTTTTTCAAATATTTTGCAACATAGAATGACAGTTTCAGAAAGGGGCCTGCAACAGTCAAAGGGTTAATTGCATACATTTTCTTTTGTTTACAAGTTTTTAATGGATGCATCAAGAATTTGAGAATACGTACTGTATATGGGCAAAGGAAAAACATTAGATTATTTTTTTTCAAACATGCCAGTAAGAACCGAATAAGTTTAAATACATATTCACAAATAAAATACTACACTAACCCCTTGTGCATTGATAGATATATCTTCAGTGAACTATCATGGTAATATTTTTAATTTAACACCAAAACTCTGCAATCTAACCAGCTTTTCCTAAAATTAATGAAATATACTTTTAGCTTCCTTAAATTTTACCCAACCTATCTTTGATCAGCATAAAATTATAATTATGTGATCATTCAATAGTGGATGCCCTGATATAAAAATTCCAAATGCGAGTGGCAAAATTATTTATTCTTAGATTGAAAGGGCCTATTTTTCTACACAGACCTACAAAAAAACTAAAAGTAAAGGAAAACCTTTTATAGCCGTGATGAAGTTGGCGACAAGTGATCACTTGTCTGGAGGTGGAAAGCACAGTGCCTACGCTCTGAAGGAGGGGGCGGAGATATGTTGCAGCTTTTGAACTGTAGTGTAGGCATGCCTCTGGCAAGACAGTGGTGAAGTCAGTGATGATTAAAGTGTTTCTTCTTTTTAAGGTCACCCTGCCTTGGTGGGAATGGCCGATATGTTAATAAAAAAAATATTTTCAAATTTATGCCAAATTATGATTTTTATTTTTTGATGGCTAACACTGTGTCCACTACTTTTTTTACAATGCAGAATTGGAATATTCACTCTAAATTGGTACAAATAAATGTTTCTTGCCTTCTAGAAATATGTACTATAAGGAAATCTTATGGTATTGTGATTGTCAAATTGTATGACTATTTGGTTAAAACTATGTAACAAACCTTCTAGCAGAATTTCACTATCATGAAATTATAATAAATTTGGAACAAATAAGGCATCTTTGTGCCAGGTCCACACCCTGTCTGCTGGCAGGGAAGCTAGTGATGGCATGACAGGTCATGGTTGTGGTGGTTTCCATAAGCTACTTTGTCATTATTACCTGTGATGCACAATGTGCACCTGCCTGGTCTCAAATTCTTTCCCAGGCATCAAGAGTGTGGTGGTAGAAAAGTCAAACAGTTGAGCCCTGGTATAAAATGGCAGCAGGCAGCATATTTGCATACACAAAAACTATACATACTGGTCCCGTGTACAAGTGCTGTATGCCATGCACCGATTAACCCTTTCAAAGCCCAGACCCCTGATCTGAAACATGTACACAGGGTCCAAGAATTCACAAAAAAAAATTATTTTTTCTTATGAAATGGTACACAATCTTTTTCTGAAGTTAATAAAACATTATTATAATCAAAACGAAGCGCTAAGCCACAAGGGCTATACAGCAGTTAATAAAACAAAAAGTACGAAATTTGGTGGAAAATTGACTGAAATTATGCTATCACAAATTTTGCTGTGTCAGGGATATTTACACATTGACAATTCTGACCACTTTGAATCCTATTTTAGGCCAATTACATTGTTCAAGTCAACCAAATTCTTATCTATTTTGATAGTATGCCTTCCACTTTATCAACTGAGCACAAGAAACTACCCAATCAACTATTTCAACTACCCAATAAAGTGATCAGAAATAGGTAATTTGGCCAATTTCACACAAATTTCAAAATACGCAAGTTTCAAAATAGGGTCCAGAATAAGCAATGCAGGCATTCCTGGCACTAAAATAACATTTCCTTTGTTCATTAGTTACATTCCCAGGCTTTACATTCCATTTTGAATTTTTATTCACAAAAAAATACAAGATTTACTGTTATGCATGACTGTGATAATTGTATAAATAACATCAGTGCATTCATGAACACATTAGACCAACCAGTGGATGCGTATTGGACGAGTTACGTGATTTGTTTATTCTGGAACATTGGCAAAAATCAAATATTTCTGCTGCTTTGAGCACAATTTCGGACTATTTTCAGTCCTCAATCCAATCAAAATCATCTCTATTTCTGTAAACATATCTTCCACTTTATCAAATGAGACCAAGAAACTGTGAACATAACCATAAAAACCTTACAAAAATACACTGTTTTAAACCAAAAATATGGTGGCAGTTTTTCCTCATTATTCAGTGTGTGCTGCAAGATTTTTTTTTATATGGTGCACACTTACCACATAGACCCATTCTATCTAGGCCCAAATTTACTCCTCACAGCTTGTCTGAGTGAGCTAAGCTCATGGCGTAATTCTACGGCACTCACCCAGAGTTGAAAACTGTAGAACTACAGTACTGATCCTCAAGGGGTTAAGGTTAAAACTAATAAAAAATACATAATGTATTCATTATTTTATATTCACTCATTTTCAGTTATTGCAACAATTAATTTACAATACTTTTTCAAAACAATTGTTATTTTATAAGCCAAGATTGCAAGGTCTGCCTAAAACATGACACACATACATACACTCTATATATGCACATAATATATAATTCATATTTAATAACATGTATCCCCTCATGAGAGGTTCCTTGATGCCAATGAGGGGATCTTGATCTAAGGAATTAGCCTAATGCTTCCCTTCCTTGGATTGAACCTTAATGCCTCCCATTACCCCAAGCACTGTATAACCCCCATGGGTTTAACACACACTATAAATATATTAATGATAACATATATGCAACTTTTCAAAATTAGAATACTGTATCACAAACACAAAGTGGAACTATTTTTCTAATCAAACACAATTAAATATGCTTAACTAATAAAGCAACTATGAAAAAATAACTACTAGTATGTTCAGTAATTGGTATATTCAATATCTTTAAAAGACACACACTGTGATGCATCCACACAACTACAAAATAAAATGGTCCTCAGATTTAATGCATAATAAATTACATATGCTGTTTCAAAAGCATGCAAATGCAATTAAAAATGGTCCAATTGTAGAAAGTGGATTTAACATTTCAGTAATTAAATCATAGACAAATTAACCAGTCAAGAAACCTGTGCACATAGCTAAAGCTACATAGCCTGACTCCCCAGTTCTGTATATAAAACCCTCTATCTTTTCCGTAAAAAATTCAAAACTAATAATAAATTTTGCACTGATTACAAATTTTGATCACATTTATACAAATGTAAACCCTAAAAATGGCCACTTGTAAACTCTTGAAATTAAACATGCTAAATATCACATTTACAAAATACTTTTAACAACTGTTACATATTGTTCTTCCTTTGGCATCATTTTGTATTTATACATCTGTATCATACATACACAATATTCTGTAATACACTGTATAAAATTGAAAATAGGTACTGTATAATATTGATTATCAATTCTGTAAATCTGAAAACAGACAATAAAATAATGACATACTAATGGTATGCCGGTATGCCAGTATAAAGCAAACTAATATAGCTTTAAAAAATCCTGTTCTATGTACCAAAATTTATACACTACTTTCGAAAACTGGTAAGCTTTTCAAAATCCTGCATGTGATGAATGGTTTGAAAAACCGACAAGTTGAAGATTGAGACACTTAGATTGAGACACATTCTACAAGATTGATGGACTGAACACATCGACTCCAGGTTGAGGGACTGATTACCTCATTCTCCTCCTCTCCTTACACCTTCCTCTTTGTATTGGACTGATGAAGCCACTGTGTGGCGAAACGTTTCCTGAATAAAGATTCCCATATGCTGCATAAGTGTCTCAATCTTCAAAATCCTGCATAAACTCGTCTGAGTCATAAGAGCGTTTTATAGCATAAAACAACACAATATATTCAAATATTAGTTATCAATAGCATATTTCATGGTATAAACTTTCCTTATTCATAAATACATAAACTTTAACTAAAAATAATTCTAAGAACTGTCTGATTATTATTTATTTATCTGCAAACTGATGTACAGTATCACTAAGTTTAACAAAACAAAAATTTGAAGGCTCATTTAACCACATACTGAACATGAAATGAATTACTCAATAATAATGTACTATACTGAATATGGTCAGTGTAACACAGTGAAGTACAGTACATCACTGGGATAAATAAACAAATCATATTACATTATCCATTAACTTCAAAATACAAATTATTTATTAACCTGTGGTGAAATTTTAAACTTACCAAATTTTCTTACATCATTTATGAAAACTGAAGCAATGTATACCAATATCAGATATAAAATTATGTGGATTTCATATGTACATACAGCAAACTCTCCATAAAATGAACTAATTGGGGGAAGAGGTGTCCAAATGAAGCTGACTTAGTCCGCTATATTGATGGACTACCGAACATATTAAGAATAGAGTATATTATAATGCAGTACTGTTCTGCACAACTGTGCTATACAAGAAAAGAAAGTTTAAAGTACAGCACAGTATATGTCAAGTACACTACAGTAATTTTTCTTACTTTTCTGGAGGATAGATGAGCTTAATTCAAGTTTCTACTTAACAGTCAATGTCACACACTTTGTATCATTATCACCTGCTTTAGAGGCTATTGTAATAACACTGTGCATGGCACTGTAATGGAAAACACACTAAATCAAAGGAAAACTGGAGAGAACTGATAATGGTACGTATTTGAGAATGCAAGCAGACAATAACAAACTGATGCAGGCCAAGTCACTGGCTCCACTGCCCAGAAACAATGAAAATAGACATACACAGAATGAAGCCCAGACCAGACAAACTTGTGATTAAATGGAGTTGGTCCACTTTAACGAGGGTATAACAGGACTGGACAGCCTCGCAATATAGCGGATTTGGTTCGCTTCATGGCTATTTTAATCAGACACCCCATTAAGCCTTTATTTGGCCAGAATTTTTGTCTATTTTAGCCGATATCTGCTGTATAGAGGTCCATTTTATTGAGGGTTTACTGAATAGTAATTTTGTCACAAAACTAGTAATACAGACAACTAATTTTATAAACAATACCTTCTATATTTATCCATTTCCTAGTGGATATCTGAAAGCCTGAAAGATGCATAAAGGTTCATACATGGTGAACACATTACTCAGTATGTACTTCATGATAACACTACATTATTTATTTTACAGTCCATGTGTTTCTGTGTACATCCACAGTATACAGATTATTTTTACAAAGAGTAATTATAGAAAACTAGCAAATAATAATGGATGTAGAGTATCAACAAATTATTTTCGTATTAGATACAAATGGTACTATACCATCCATAAGTATTTTTTATAAGTAAATTTACTTTTCATGAAAGACAACCACATGTAAAATTTTCTTCTTATATTATTAGCAGCAGGAAAAATAAAAGCCTGGATAATAGTACAATAGTACTGATTATGGTTAATGTTATTAAGCACATCTAAATGCAAAATCAGGTAAGCTTAATGTTGTACTCTATTCAAAATTTAATCCTTCCAAAACCACTTATAAAAAGCAAGAGCACTGATTAACAAAAAGATTTAGAAAAAAGTACTAATTAGTTACATTTCTACCTTGAAAGTAACACAGCATTTCATTATTTAATGCGCTGCATCTTTATGCATGAAATAGTTTAATGTTTAGAACTGTGGAGGCTTAATTTTTCTATATAAGATTTAAGAATATAGATATTTCCTTTTACTGGAAGCTGCTTTATATTTTCACTAAGCATGGTAACTACAGTAATAGAAAGAATAGATCACTTCAAGGTTATACTGTATATTCATAAATAGGCACATTAATTACAAGGATTTCTTAATATATTTAAGATTTGCCTTTAAATACACTCCAAGCCAAAAGATATTTTTCAGTCATTTATTATACTGCATCCAGTGACCCATCACATGAATTCCTTATGTCAAAATATAGTTGTTTTAAATTGATTCATCACAACCTCAATTTTAAACTAATGAAGATGAACTACTGGTAAGTCTTATTATTAGATAATAGAAACAATGAAAATACAGGGAATTAGACATGAAAAAAGATCATTAGTACTGTGTTTAATCATATTTTTTTTTTTTTTTTTGACAACCATTGTCTGCCTTCCAGAATACATACATTGTCCATCCACTCACATACAATACAGCAGAGTTAAATACAAGTTTGTCATTAACTCCTGAATGTTCATGGGGTATAGAAGCCAAATGTATCTTAATATTGACTAAGAGAAGTGGAGTGAGGGGATTAAGCTTGGATTTCCCTGTCAAATGTGTGGTTTTCAATACGTTAATCACTCAATTGTAGAGCATATCTCACACTTTAACTTAGTACTCATGGGTTTTGGCACTCTGATTTAATTGCCACTAAAAAAATATTAGCCTTATAAAATGCCTCATTATGCCCAATCAAGCTTTTAAAGTTCTGGATCACACATTAATTTCGTGTGCCGCCCTCTTATTTTATGGGTGATTTGCTATTTGCGGTCCTATAATTCCAATATTATCCAGATTTCCAAATCTGGATATTAGAATTATTTTGGAGAGCCATCAGATTTAACAAGGAATGGAATACTTACCTATGATGATGGGAAAACATTTTTTATGCAGCCATGGATCCAGTGAACTTCCCTCACCCCCCCCCCCCCCATCCTCTTTTAATCTGCGGCCATGTATGAAAGCTCCGTTGGGTGGGATCACGGGGCTGCCTAGTAAGAATAATGACATGCTCTCATTCCACTGGTCATTAGCAAGTGTGGCAGAGTAACCACTGCTTATTATAGGGAAAAGAATTTCTAGCAATTAGTGCTTGCATTTTATCTGACTGGCAGGCCAAGTGTATTCTGGGAACAAGCATTGAGCCTATGGCAAGAGTGTGCTCGAAATGCTGTGTGTGCTCTATGAGCTTTCTTTGTAAAGTTTACTATTTACTGTTAACCATCTATTGTAACTAATGTACATTTTAGGAGAAATAAAATTATATTATTTGAGAGAAAAATAAAAGATTTTTTTTCCTTGTCAAAGGTAATTACTGTATTATAGAATGCTTTCACATTTTCTACAATAGTCAATAATGTTGAGATGGCAATTTTCAAATTAAAGCCATACAAGCTTTTTTTGTGAAGTTCCCACATTTCTTTAAAACATGATATTTAGAATGTGACTGCCTCATGGAAACCTCCAAATTCATAAATGCAGATGTGATCCATTTGGAAATAGTAGACATTTCATGTTTCTTGGTCTGAACAGGATTGTACATAGAAAGCTCTGAATATCTTCGCATATCACATCCTCGTCATCATTCTGTCCTTCTGAGAAAATAAATATTAGAGATTAAACCTTTAGTTAGTGTACTTTAAAATATTTTTTTTTTTTTTTTTTTTTTTTTCCAACAAGTCGGCCGTCTCCCACCGAGGCAGGGTGACCCAAAAAAGAAAGAAAATCCCCAAAAAGAAAATACTTTCATCATCATTCAACACTTTCACCACACTCGCACATTATCACTGTTTTTGCAGAGGTGCTCAGAATACAACAGTCTAGAAGCATACACATATAAAGATACACAACATATCCCTCCAAACTGCCAATATCCCAAACCCCTCCTTTAAAGTGCAGGCATTGTACTTCCCATTTCCAGGACTCAAGTCCGACTATATGAAAATAACCGGTTTCCCTGAATCCCTTCACTAAATATTACCCTGCTCACACTCCAACAGATCGTCAGGTCCCAAGTACCATTCGTCTCCATTCACTCCTATCTAACACGCTCACGCACGCTTGCTGGAAGTCCAAGCCCCTTACCCACAAAACCTCCTTTTACCCCCTCTCTCCAACCCTTTCGAGGACGACCCTACCCCGCCTTCCTTCCCCTATAGATTTATATGCTTTCCATGTCATTCTACTTTGATCCATTCTCTCTAAATGACCAAACCACCTCAACAACCCCTCTTCTGCCCTCTGACTAATACTTTTATTAACTCCACACCTTCTCCTAATTTCCACACTCCGAATTTTCTGCATAATATTTACACCACACATTGCCCTTAAACAGGACATCTCCACTGCCTCCAACCGTCTCCTCGCTGCTGCATTTACCACCCAAGCTTCACACCCATATAAGAGTGTTGGTACTACTATACTTTCATACATTCCCTTCTTTGCCTCCATAGATAACGTTTTTTGACTCCACATATACCTCAACGCACCACTCACCTTTTTTCCCTCATCAATTCTATGATTAACCTCATCCTTCATAAATCCATCCGACCGACACGTCAACTCCCAAGTATCTGAAAACATTCACTTCTTCCATACTCCTCCTCCCCAATTTGATATCCAATTTTTCTTTATCTAAATCATTTGACACCCTCATCACCTTACTCTTTTCTATGTTCACTTTCAACTTTCTACCTTTACACACATTCCCAAACTCATCCACTAACCTTTGCAATTTTTCTTTAGAATCTCCCATAAGCACAGTATCATCAGCAAAAAGTAACTGTGTCAATTCCCATTTTGAATTTGATTCCCCATAATTTAATCCCACCCCTCTCCCAAACACCCTAGCATTTACTTCCTTAACAACCCCATCTATAAATATATTAAACAACCATGGTGACATTACACATCCCTGTCTAAGACCTACTTTTACCGGGAAGTATTCTCCCTCTCTTCTACACACCCTAACCTGAGCCTCACTATCCTCATAAAAACTCTTTACAGCATTTAATAACTTACCACCTATTCCATATACTTGCAACATCTGCCACATTGCTCCTCTATCCACTCTATCATATGCCTTTTCTAAATCCATAAATGCAATAAAAACTTCCCTATCTTTATCTAAATACTGTTCACATATATGCTTCAATGTAAACACCTGATCTACACATCCCCTACCCACTCTAAAACCTCCTTGCTCATCCGCAATCCTACATTCTGTCTTACCTCTAATTCTTTCAATTATAACCCTACTGTACACTTTTCCTGGTATACTCAGTAAGCTTATTCCTCTATAATTTTTACAGTCTCTTTTGTCCCCTTTCCCTTTATATAAAGGGACTATACATGCTCTCTGCCAATCCCTAGGTACCTTCCCCTCTTTCATACATTTATTAAACAAAAGTACCAAACCACTCCAACACTATATCCCCCCCTGCTTTTAACATTTCTGTCATAATCCCATCAGTTCCAGCTGCTTTACCCCCTTTCATTTTACGTAATGCCTCACGTACCTCCCCACACTTACATTCTGCTCTTCTTCACTCCTAAAAGATGGTATACCTCCCTGACCAGTGCATGAAATTACTGCCTCTGTTTCTTCCTTAACATTTAAAAGTTCCTCAAAATATTCTCGCCATCTACCCAATACCTCCATCTCCCCATCTACTAACTCCCCTACTCTGTTTTTAACTGACAAATCCATATTTTCCCTAGGCTTTCTTAACTTGTTTAACTCACTCCAAAATTTTTTCTTATTTTCATTAAAATTTCTTGACAGTGCCTCTCCCACTCTATCATCTGCTCTCCTTTTGCACTCTCTCACCACTCTCTTTACCTTTCTTTTACTCTCCATATACTCTGCTCTTCTTATAACACTTCTGCTTTGTAAAAACCTCTCATAAGCTACCTTTTTCTCTTTTATCACACCCTTTACTTCATCATTCCACCAATCACTCCTCTTTCCTCCTGCCCCCACCCTCCTATAACCACAAACTTCTGCCCCACATTCTAATACTGCATTTTTAAAACTATTCCAACCCTCTTCAAGCCCCCCACTACTCATCTTTGCACTAGCCCATCTTTCTGCCAATAGTCGCTTATATCTCACCCGAACTTCCTCCTCCCTTAGTTTATACACTTTCACCTCCCTCTTACTTGTCATTTAATTCATGAATGTCATGACCAGATATATAGTCAAATGTCTCTAGTCTAGTATTCTATACACTAGCAATGCACATAATCCTGCATTAGGCAAAATAACATCAGCCTCCACAATGGGATTAATGCTATCAGTGGTCCTTGAAGACTCAACAAGAATGAGATTAGCATTTCAGCAAATTGAAGGAAACTGACCTTGAAAAAACCATTCACAAAGGCTTCACAGCACTGCACATTTCCAGAAACTACAACTGCATCATGCCTGATATGATTCCATGCATTAGCTTAATTTTGATATACCAAGCAATTCTACAAAAGCTCCTATGACAGTCAAAGGAAGACCTGCCTTACCTTGGCTCAAAGCTACCCCCTAACACTGCAATGTCTATGCAACAACATGAACTTTTGTTTACCTTGTACAATTTTGAAGTAACTGTGACTAATTTTAAGAGTTCTACCCTTGTAGCGTGATCTAAAACCAGAGTTTCATGTTGACTGCTTGATGAGCCAACCTGTTACTGCCTGAAGCTTGTAAGCCTCCTGAATTAGCATCATAATCATGGAAATGTCAGGAGAGAGGGTTATGTAGGAGAGGAGAAGGAAGAGGATAGGGGATGATGAGGGAAGAGAGAATCTCAAGATCCACTGCACACACCCTTACCCAAGCTACTCCTATCCTACCTCTACTGATGTTTGTGTGCCTTTTATAAAATCACAGTGAAGTTCCCATATTCTACCTGCCTCGAGAAAATCACCTGTACATCTATCTATTCAAGCTATATAAAGCAACAAGCATTTCCTTGAAGTGCTACACTGAGTCTAGATAAGGAAGCTGAGGGGCCCTTTGGATCCTAAAACATTCATTGCTTAACTCTTTTTGGTACTTGGGTCTGCATTCTTCCATGATCCAAGTCTTAAAAAAAAAAAAAAAAAATAAAGTCCAGCCTTGAAGTTACCAGACATGAAACGTTCGACTGCATTTGAAATAAATTTACAATCTTGTCATATCATCTTGCCTTCCTCCTTTAGTAGAAAAATTTCCTATCTTTATTTCTTAACAGAAACCAGAATATATCAAAAATCACAAAGTAAGTTCTAAGAATATTAAGGAAAGTATACATAGTGAGAATCTTACCTCTCAATAGAGTTTTGTCGTGTGGCTATTGATGCGGAAATGCTGGAGCTTTTTCTTTCCTAAAGATAAATACAAAACTGTGAATAACTATTACTTATGTTGATACATATCCTACAAATATTTTTAGGTTGTGTTAAAGTTTAAGTACGCATTTAAAAAATTCTGAATATCATATCCATCTGCTGCACACAGGGTGAAAAGATTTCAATAAACATGAAGGGAAAACATGAAATCCCGTTTCTTCCACAGCAGCAAGGACATACACATACTGAATATTTCAGATTTACATTAAGGATTGGCCTGCCCAAATTTGTTTGTTTAACAACAAAATATGTATTAGTTATGATAATACAGCATTTTGAAAATCAAAAAATTAACAAGAAAGAACAAAAAATGCAAATCTTTAAAATTATTATTTAAGTAGGAATAATGTGTTGCATTTAAGATTACCTTATAACCTGCTATAAGAATGTCAGCAAAATCAGTTAGTTATCCTGTAAATCTTAAGAAAGTAAAAACTATTTCAGTTGAGAGATGACCAAAAACTTTCATTTTATCCATATTCATATACTATGCTATCACTATACAGTATATAGCCAAACAAAGCTAGAACTTGAATCATTATACTGTACTGAGAAGAAAATAGTCTTCCCCATGTTGGCTGTAGTAGTCTAGGAAATTTATATTTAAAGAGCATATACAGTTCCTTTATATAAAGGGAAGGGAGACAAGAGAGAGAAAGAGTGTAAAAATTATAGGGGAATAAGTTTACTGAGTAGACAGCAACCACCCAGGGAGGTACTACCATCCTGCCAAGTGAGTGTAAAATGGAAGCCTGTAATTGTTTTACATGATGGTAGGATTGCTAGTGTTTTTTTTCTGTCTCATAAACATGCAAGATTTCAAGTAGGTCTTGTTACTTCTACTTACACTTAGGTCACACTACACATGCATGTACAAGCATATATATACACATCCCTCTGGGGCTTTTTTCTATTTTCTTGCTAGTTCTTGTTACCTCCATGGGGAAGTGGAAGAGAATTCCTCCTCCATAAGCCATGCATGTCGTAAGAGGCGATTAAAATGCTGGGAGCAAGGGGCTAGTAACCCCTCCTCTGTATACATTAATTTTAAAGAGAGAAACTTTCGTTTTTCTTTTCAGGTCACCCTGCCTCAGTGGCATATGGCCGGTTTGTTGAAAAAAAAAAGTTTACCTAGTATACTGGGTAAAGTGTATGGTAGCGTTATTATTCAGAGAATTAGAGGCAAAACAGAGAGCAAGATTGCAGATGAACAAGGAGGCTTTAGAATGGATAGATGTGCAGACCAAGTGTTTACATTGAAGCATGAGTAAACAATATTTAGATAAAGGAAGGGAGGTTTTTGTTGCATTATGTATTTAGAAAAAGCTTATGATAGGGTGGAGCTTATGATAGGGGAGCATTGTGGCAGATGTTGCAAGTGTATGGAATATTTAATAAGTTATTAAATGCTGTAAAGAGTTTTTATGAGGATAGTGAACCCCAGGTTAGGGTGTGTAGGAGAGAGGGAGATTACTTTCCATGTGTAATGTCACCATGGTTGTTTAACATATTTATATAGATGGGGTTGTAAAAGAAGTAAATGCAAGGGTATTTGGGAGAGGGGCGGGGTTAAATTATGGGGAATCAAATACAAAATGGGAGTTGATGCAGTTACTTTTTGCTGATGATACTGTGCTTTTAAGAGATTCTAAAGAGAAACTGCAAAGGTTAGTGGAGGAATTTGGGAGGGTGTGTAAAGGAAGAAAGTTGAAAGTAAGCACAGATGAGAGTACTTCAAGGTGATGAGGGTATCAAATGAGCTAGGTAAAGAAAAATTGGATATCACATTGAAGGGAAGAGTTTGGAAAAAGTGAATGTGTTCAGATATTTGGGGGTAGGTAGGATGAGGTAAACCACACAACTGACAAAGGGAAAAGGGTGGGTGGTGCATTGAGGTAATTGTGAAGACAAAGAACACTATCCATGGAGGCAAAGAAGGGAAGGTATGAGAATATAGTGGTACCAACACTCTTATATGGGTGTGAGGCATGGGCTGTAAATACTGCAGCAAGGAGGAGGCTGGAGGCAGTGGAGATACCGTGTCTAAGGGCAATGTGTGGGGTAAATATTATGCAGAGAATTTGTAGTGTGGAAATTAGGAGGTGTGGAGTTACTAAAAGTATTTTTCAGAGGGCTATGGAGAGGTTGAGTGGTTTGGTCATTTAGAAAGGGTGGAGCAAAATAGGATGACTTGGAAGGTGTATAAATCTGTAGTGGAGGGGTAGGGGTCATCCTAGAAAAGGATGATCCCTACTCTATGTCCAAACCCTTGTGTGCAAGGGCCTGGGCATAAAGCATGTGTGAGTATGTTAGATTGGAGTGAATGGAGACAAATGATTTTTAGGACTCACTGAGCTGTTGGAGTGTGAGCAGGGTAATATTCTGTGAAGGAATTCAGGGAAACAAGTTAGCTAGACTTGAGTCCTGGAAGTGGAAAGTACAATGCCTGCACTTTAAAGAATGGGTTTGGTGGAATATTTGCTGTTTGGAGTGACATCTGAACTGTCATATATGAGTGCCTCTTCAAAGACAATGACTTTTGTGTGAACAATGGTGAAAGTGCTGAATGATGGTGAAAGTGTTTTTCTTTCTTTTTTGGGTCACCCTGCCATGGTGAGAGATGGCCAATGTGTTAAAAAAAATTTACCCATTTTACAGTTCAATTATCTCACCAGGGTGCACTGGTAAGTTATTTTTTGTTGAAAATAGAAATCAACACATTTTGGTATTCTTATCGAAAAGTTAACTCTTAAAACTCACACTAATTAAGTCTACATTTATAAAGCTGAAGCTTTAGCACATACAAAATTTTATGACTAAAAAGGCTCAAAAGGCTACGGGAGAATCAATTTGCATTGTTTTTTATACAATGTACTGTATTATCTATAATACTTGCATGCATTACTATTATTTAGCTACACTGATATAAGACAAACAAACCTTAAGGAGGATGATTGGGGGCATGAGTGTGTCTCCAGACAGCTGTGGTGTGGGTGAAGTGTTGGACATTTTCATGCATTCCTCTAGTGTATGTATGAAGTTATCACATGTAGCTGACAGTAGAGTTGTAGATTCATCTAGTTTCTGAAAATAGATAAGAATGCAAAATAAAGACACCAAGGTAGGGTAACCCAGAGAAGCAAACACATTCACCATCATTCATTCTATCCCTGTCTTTAGAGATGTGTGATGACATTACAATTCTGAATATCCTTTGATGGCAACATCCCCACCCCTCCAGAGTGCTGTATCTGTCTCTGGTAGCTCCTGTATTGATATTCAAACATTGTTTAAAGATGATGCAGTAATGTAGTTAGTTACTGAGATTTCATTATTGCCTTTTTTTTTATTTTCTTGATTTCTAATGGTAGTAATAAAAAATTTGGTGTTGAGTTCAGGTGTCCTGTCTGTAATTATACCCAATTATAGTGTGGCTATTATGTTGATTAAAATATGATCAAGCACAGAAGTAGGTGTCTCAAATGAGACTCGTGGTCTAGTATGGTTTACTCTTGATATACCTTTGATGGGTTTCAAGAGTTTTCCTATACTCAAAGCCTGCCCCTGGGCCAGCCAAGCTTGCCTGGTGCTTGCATGACCAACCAAGCTGTTTCTGCTCTTGGTCTGCTGGCCCACATATCTGTCATAGCCTTGTTTATCTTGCACTTGGCAGAAGAAATTGTCTGTTTTCCTCTTAAAGACTAATAGACTTGTTCCCACAGTGTTTCTGATACCTTCTAGCACAATGCTAAAAAAAAATCTGGGTTCACATATGCTGACGCAATGCTTCATTATTGTGCCCACAGTGCCCCTGCCTCTCTGGGCACATTCTTCCATATCTCTTACTCGAGTATGTTATGGCAGGGCAAATTTTGGTAATTGAAGACCATTAGCAAACAGGCACAGGCACAGGCACGCAGGCATGCACGCACGCACGCACGCACGCACGCACGCACACACACACACACACACACACACACACACACACACACACACACACACACACACGGAATTTCCATCGTTTTTTTACGAGCAGTGCAACCCTTCCTCCCCCTCTGCCCCTTCTTCCTCCCCTTCTGCCCCTTCTATCTTTCCTCATGATCTGATATCCTGGTGGGAAGATTGCATCTGTTATTGTCTCAGTGAGTTTCGTTTCTGTAACTGCTATGATCTATGGGGATTTCTCATTGATTCTTTCTTGCCACTCCTCATATTTACTCATTAATCCATCCACATTTGTGTACCAAACCTTCAACTTCTGTTCTAAAACTGAAACTGTGGTCCTGGGGGAATATTGGGGTTGGGAGAGCAGGAGCCCTGGCAGGGGCCTATGGGAGGTTGTGGTGGGGATGGGGGCAGAGTTCCCATAGGGGGTTGCTGTAGGGGCAAGGTTCGTGGTGTGGAGGGTGGGGACAGAGGGATCTGTGTGTGATTGTTGGTTTAGATTGTTCAGTTGCCTTGGGGATGGCGTGGTTGGAGTCCTTCTGCGGATGTTTCTAGGGGGTGTGCTTGCCCTTCCACCTGTGCCTGGGTTATTCTGCTTTTCTTTGTCATTTCCTCCCATCCCTCCTTTCATTTTTGTACTCATTCAGTATCATCCTTTCCTCCTGTGTTCTGTCTCGATCGAGGTACACACTCTGGAACTCCAGTTTGTCTCTCAGCCATGATTTCTCCTGCAGGATTATGGTTCGAGTTGATTCTGCCTTGAAAATTACTTTGAGAGGCCATTTCTTTCTCTTTGCGAACATCCCAATTCTCCGAAAATTTGCCACCTGGGTCATGTTGCTCTCGCCTATCACCTTCATGATACCTTCAATCGCTTTTTTCTCCTCCTGTTTTCTTTCTTTATACGTTTCCCCTTCGGCTTCCTAGAGCCCATAGACAAAAACTGATCTCACCCTTTCTTCCTCCCACTGTGTCTCCCATTGCGTCCTCTGACATGTTTTAGTTCCTTCCCATGGAGCGTTCCTTCCTTCAATCCCTTCCCTAGCTGTGGCCCCTATGCTCATTGATTTGTCTTTCCTCCTCACTTGTTCCTGGCCCCCACAAGTGTCTGGTAGAGTCCTTGCGTATGTCCTAGTTCCTTCAATGTCTTCCGACCTCTCATTCAGTCCTAGTGTGCTCCCCGTCTTTGTCTTGGCCCCGTGTGAGTCTGACAGGGCCTTTGCATACAGTATAGCTTCCTTCCTCTCTCCAGTCCCTTTGTCTGTGTCTGATGAAGATATTCCTGATGCTATGTCTGTATTATTTTTTTTCTCTAGGCTGTTTCAGATTTCTCAGCTCCTCTTCTAAGCTCTGTATCTTGGCTTCTGCTACTGTGGCATGTTGCTCCCACCTTCTGCTCTCTGCAGCTAACCTCTCCTCCATCTTCTTTGCAAGCTCATCTAGCTTCCTTCCCCAGTCTTCCTCACTTTTTTGAGCTCTGCCTCCCAATCCTCCCTCCCAGATTCGTCCATCAGACCCTCGGCTCTCGTCCTTGTTCTTCGTTGCCCCACTGCACCGCAGAACAACGGAGGAGAGATGGTTAGGGGGAGGGGGAGAGATGGCAAGTATGTGTGTGTGTGGGAGAGGGATGGGATCAAAGGGGAGGGGAGGAGAGGGAAAGGGGAGGGGAGGAGAGGGAAAGGGGAGGGGAGGAGAGGGAAAGGGGAGGGGAGGAGGGGGAAAAGGGGAGGGAAGGAGGGGGATAGAGTGACCACTTGAAACAGGGGTGCCTTAAGGTTGGTGTGGTGTGTGTGTGTGTTGTGTGTGTGTGTGTGTGTGTGTGTGTGTGTGTGTGTGTGTGTGTGTGTGTGTGTGTGTGTGTGTGTGTGTGTGTGTGTGTGTGTGTGTGTGTGTGTACTCACCTAGTTGAGGTTGCGGGGGTCGAGTCCGAGCTCCTGTGTGTGTGTGTGTGTGGTGTGTCTGTGTGTGTGTGTGTCTGTGTGTGTGTGTGTGTGTGTCTGTGTGTGTGTCTGTGTGTGTCTGTGTGTGTGTCTGTGTGTGTGTCTGTGTGTGTGTGTGTGTGTGTGTGTGTGTGTACTCACCTAGTTGTACTCACCTAGTTGAGGTTGCGGGGGTCGAGTCCGAGCTCCTGGCCCCGCCTCTTCACTGATCGCTACTAGGTCACTCTCCCTGAGCCGTGAGCTTTATCATACCTCTGCTTAAAGCTATGTATGGATCCTGCCTCCACTACATCGCTTCCCAAACTATTCCACTTACTGACTACTCTGTGGCTGAAGAAATACTTCCTAACATCCCTGTGATTCATCTGTGTCTTCAGCTTCCAACTGTGTCCCCTTGATACTGTGTCCAATCTCTGGAACATCCTGTCTTTGTCCACCTTGTCAATTCCTCTCAGTATTTTGTATGTCGTTATCATGTCCCCCCTATCTCTCCTGTCCTCCAGTGTCGTCAGGTTGATTTCCCTTAACCTCTCCTCGTAGGACATACCTCTTAGCTCTGGGACTAGTCTTGTTGCAAACCTTTGCACTTTCTCTAGTTTCTTTACGTGCTTGGCTAGGTGTGGGTTCCAAACTGGTGCCGCATACTCCAATATGGGCCTAACGTATACGGTGTACAGGGTCCTGAACGATTCCTTATTAAGATGTCGGAATGCTGTTCTGAGGTTTGCTAGGCGCCCATATGCTGCAGCAGTTATTTGGTTGATGTGCGCTTCAGGAGATGTGCCTGGTGTTATACTCACCCCAAGATCTTTTTCCTTGAGTGAGGTTTGTAGTCTCTGACCCCCTAGACTGTACTCCGTCTGCGGCCTTCTTTGCCCTTCCCCAATCTTCATGACTTTGCACGTGGTGGGATTGAACTCCAGGAGCCAATTGCTGGACCAGGTCTGCAGCCTGTCCAGATCCCTTTGTAGTTCTGCCTGGTCTTCGATCGAGTGTATTCTTCTCCATCAACTTCACGTCATCTGCAAACAGGGACACCTCAGTCTATTCCTTCCGTCATGTCGTTCACAAATACCAGAAACAGCACTGGTCCTAGGACTGACCCCTGCGGGACCCCGCTGGTCACAGGTGCCCACTCTGACACCTCGCCACGTACCATGACTCGCTGCTGTCTTCCTGACAAGTATTCCCTGATCCATTGTAGTGCCTTCCCTGTTATCCCTGCTTGGTCCTCCAGTTTTTGCACTAATCTCTTGTGTGGAACTGTGTCAAACGCCTTCTTGCAGTCCAAGAAAATGCAATCCACCCACCCCTCTCTCTCTTGTCTTACTGCTGTCACCATGTCATAGAACTCCAGTAGGTTTGTGACACAGGATTTCCCGTCCCTGAAACCAGGCTGAGCTACGTGATGATATCATTCCTGTTCTAGGTGGTATTTCCAACCACTTCTTCTCCTACAATCAACTTCCATGAGTTCTTGCATGTTACTTATAACATGTTCAGGGCTGACCACTGGTCCTGTAGTTTAATGCTTCATGTCTGTCTCCTTTTTTAAAGATTGGGACTACATTTGCTGTCTTCCATGCCTCAGGCAATCTCCCTGTTTCGATAGATGTATTGAATATTGTTGTTAGGGGTACACATAGCGCCTCTGCTCCCTCTCTCAATACCCATGGGGAGATGTTATCTGGCCCCATTGCCTTTGAGGTATCTAGCTCACTCAGAAGCCTCTTCACTTCTTCCTCGGTTGTGTGCACTGTGTCCAGCACTTGGTGGTGTGCCCCACCTCTCCGTCTTTCTGGAGTCCCTTCTGTCTCCTCTGTGAACACTTCTTTGAATCTCTTGTTGAGTTCTTCACATACTTCACGGTCATTTCCTGTTGTCTCTCCTCCTTCCTTCCTTAGCCTGATTACCTGGTCCTTGACTGTTGTTTTCCTCCTGATGTGGCTGTACAACAGTTTCGGGTCAGATTTGGCTTTCGCTGCTATGTCATTTTCATATTGTCTTTGGGCCTTTGTCTTTGTGTGTGTGTGTCTGTGTGTGTGTGTCTGTGTGTGTGTACTCACCTAGTTGTACTCACCTAGTTGAGGTTGCGGGGGTCGAGTCCGAGCTCCTGGCCCCGCCTCTTCACTGATCGCTACTAGGTCACTCTCCCTGAGCCGTGAGCTTTATCATACCTCTGCTTAAAGCTATGTATGGATCCTGCCTCCACTACATCGCTTCACAAACTATTCCACTTACTGACTACTCTGTGGCTGAAGAAATACTTCCTAACATCCCTGTGATTCATCTGTGTCTTCAGCTTCCAACTGTGTCCCCTTGTTACTGTGTCCAATCTCTGGAACATCCTGTCTTTGTCCACCTTGTCAATTCCTCTCAGTATTTTGTATGTCATTATCATGTCCCCCCTATCTCTCCTGTCCTCCAGTGTCGTCAGGTTGATTTCCCTTAACCTCTCCTCGTAGGACATACCTCTTAGCTCTGGGACTAGTCTTGTTGCAAACCTTTGCACTTTCTCTAGTTTCTTCACGTGCTTGGCTAGGTGTGGGTTCCAAACTGGTGCCGCATACTCCAATATGGGCCTAACGTACACGGTGTACAGGGTCCTGAATGATTCTTTATTAAGATGTCGGAATGCTGTTCTGAGGTTTGCTAGGCGCCCATATGCTGCAGCAGTTATTTGGTTGATGTGCGCTTCAGGAGATGTGCCTGGTGTTATACTCACTGTGTGTGTGTGTCTGTGTGTGTGTGTGTGTCTTGTGTGTGTGTGCTGTGTGGTCTGTGTGTGTCTGTGTGTGTCTGTGTGTGTGTGTGTGTGTGTGTGTGTGTGTGTGTGTGTGTGTGTGTGTGTGTGTGGTGTGTGGTTGTTTCATGTGTGTATTCATGTGTTGGGGTGGGGGGTTGAGAGGAGGTAGCTGGTCTGGGGGTGGGGGGTTGAGAGGAGGTAGCTGGTCAGGGGAAGGGGGAGAAATGGTTAGGGGGAGGGGAGAGATGGTTAGGGGAGAGGTGGTTAGGGGAAGGGGGAGAGGTGGTTAGGGGAAGGGGGATAGATGGTTAGGGGGAGGGGGAGAGATGGTTAGGGGGAGGGGGATAGATGGTTAGAGGGGGGGATGGATGGTTAGGGGGAGGGGGATAGATGGTTAAGGGGAGGGGGATAGATGGTTAGGGGGAGGGGGATAGATGGTTAGGGAGAAGGGGAGAGATGGTCAGAGGAAGAGATGGTTAGGGGGTGGGGGAGAGATGGTTAGGGGGAAGGGGAGAGATGGTTAGGGGGAGGGGGATAGATGGTTAGGGGGAGGGGGATAGATGGTTAGGGGGAGGGGGATAGATGGTTAGGGGGAGGGGGATAGATGGTTAGGGGGAGGGGGATAGATGGTTAGGGGGAGGGGGATAGATGGTTAGGGGGAGGGGAAGAGATGGTTAGGGGTAGGGAAGGGGTAGTTGGTATGTGACTGAAAAGTAACTGTTACACGCACTCTCATGTAGGCTCAAATTTGTAGTCCCAGTTCTGTTTCCTAGTAATGCCACCTTCTCCACTTATTGCACTTTCTGGATTTAAGTACCAATTACTGCTGGTTATTATCCTATTCCTTACTCACACTGAGAGAGGACCTCTTTGCTTACAGTTGGCAGGACCTAGATACTTACCCGAACTCCCAAAACCACGTTTAGGCAAGTACATACAGCCGGCAGCGCTGAACTCATTGACTCCTGCCTCCTGGTTCCACCTCAGTTTCTTCTCTATCTGTATTTTGATTCCATTTACAATGCTTCAATCACAGCACTAGATTTGCACTTCACTGACTGCCTTGGGGTCACACCTTATCACTTATCATTTATGATGGCTGGCACTGATGCCTGGCTGCACGAGACCACGACTCAGTGTTGTACCGCTTGTTATTATCTAACACGCTGTTATTAACTAATACACTGTTGCAATCCAATACACTTGCTATTATCTAATGCACTACACTATCAAGATGTGAACATTACTGATTAGCTGGACTCTTTCATTATTATGGACACCGTTGCTTCAAGAAAAACATCAACGACCCAATGTAATTGCTAGTTATTTTTTCCTTTCTTTCCCCTCACTTTATGCACTACCTCATCTGTCCTTGACTGTCCCTTTGACTGTCGCGGTCGTACATATACGTCTTACGAGGTACTGTGTTTGACGTATATATACTCATAAATTCTAGCGGCTTCAAATCAAGGAGAAAGCTGGTAGGCCCACATGTGAGAGAATGGGTCTGTGTGGTCAGTGTGCACCATATAAAAAAAATCCTGGAGCACGCAGTGTATAATGAGAAAAAAAACTCCGACTGTTTTTTTTTAATTAAAATGCAGACTTTGTGGTCTATTTTCGTATAGTATTTATGGTTGTATTCTCGTTTTCTTGGTCTCATATGATAGAATGGAAAACATATTATAGAAATTGAGGTGATTTTGATTGATTTTACTATAAAAAGAACCTGGAAATGGAGCTCAAAGTAGGGGAAATGCTTGATTTTTGCCGATGTTCAAAAGTAAACAAATGATGTCATTGTCCAATAAATGTCCAACTAGCCATTCTAATATGCAGTCATGAATGGGTTGATGTTATTTATACAATTATTACAATATTGCAGTAGTCTGCATAATAGTAAACCTTCTATTTTTTGTTTGAATAAAAATTCAAAATAGAAAGCAAGAGTAATATCAGAGGGGCTTGGAGACATGACTGATGAACAAAGAAAATGTTATTTTAGAGCCAGGAATGTCTGCATTGTTCATTCTGAACCTTATTTTGAAATTGCCATATTTTTTAGTTTTCATGAAATTGGCCAAATTGCAAATTTCTCACCACGTTATTGGGTAGTTGAAATTGGTAAATGGGCAGTTTCTTGTACTCAATCGATAGAAAAAATGGAGTTCTAAAGAAATAGCTATGAGTTTGGTCGACTGGAACAATTGAATTAGCCGAAAATAGGGCTCAAAGTGGGCGAAATCGCCGATTTGTAAATATCGCCGAGGTCGCTAACTTCGTGAAAGCGTAATTCCGTCAGTTTTCCATCAAATTTCGTTTTCTTGGTGTCATTACAATCGGGAAAAGATTCTCTATCATTTCATAAGAAATATTTTTTTTTTTTTTTTTTTTTTTAATTTTGCAACACCAGGAGACACCTCAAGATTGGGGGTTGTGACAGTCAAGGGGTTAACTCTCTGGCTTGGGTCACACTTAATATTTTGAATTTGCAGTAGTGTTGGCTTGTGGCAACACTGCCTACATCCGACTCTAGGCCTTCTCTCCCCACTTCTGGCACTGATTTCACTTTCAAAATTATTTAAGTAATTTGTAGCCCCTGCCTCCCTTTTCTGGTTTAAGCAGCTTGCATTTCACTTCCTGACTTGTTCACTGAGCTCTAACACTTTAAATGATCCCTCCAATATCCTTGGATAGGCCAGAAAGAGCCCAAAACCCGTGAGCACTGAGTATGCTGTTACTCTTGGGGTGACCATAACACCGAGCACGTCTCCAGAGGCACACATTAACCAGATAACTGCCGCAGCATATGGGCACCTGGCAAACCTGAGAATAGCATTCTGATAACTTAATGAGGAATCGTTCAAGACACTGTACACTGTGTGCTTCAGGCCCATACTGGAGTATGTAGCACCAGTTTGGAACCCACACCTGGTCAAGCACGTCGAGAAGTTAGAGAAAGTGCAAAGGTTTGCAACAAGGCTAGTTCCAGAGCTCAGGGAAATGTCCTACGATGAAAGGTTGAGAGAAATCAGACTAACGACACTGGAGGACAGAAGGGTCAGGGGAGACATGATAATGACATACAAGATACTGCAGAGAATAGAGAAGGTGGACAGAGACAGGATGTTCCAGAATGAGGACACAGAAACAAGGGGTCACAATTGGAAGCTGAAGACTCAAACGAGTCACAGGGATATTAGGAAGTATTTCTTCAGTCATAGAGTCGTCAAGAAGTGGAATAGCCTAGCAAGTGATGTAGTGGAGGCAGGAACCATACATAGCTTTAAGACGAGGTATAACAAAGCTCAGGAAGTAGAGAGAGGACCTAGTAGCGATCAGTGAAGAGGCGGGGCCAGGAGCTGAGTCTCGACCCCTGAAACCACAATTACGTGAGTGTACACACACAAGAGCTAGGACTCGACCCCTGCAACCTCAATTAGGTGAGTACACACAAAATCTGGGTTGCTAGAAACTTTAGGCTCACTGGATTGGCAGGATAATTCATATACTGAAATGGTACAGAATAAAATACTTGATGATATCAAACCTCAAGATCTGGACCATCAGGGTTATTTGCTGCAGTTTTAACACTGTAGACCTGTTTCATCAGAAGATCACATGTTAGTCGTAATTCAGACTTCTTGGCTTTTACAGTATCTGGTTCTTGCTCTGTAAAACAAAAAATAAAAATAGTTAAGTTATAAAAAATATTTCCATACTCAAAATAGGTCTATAATAAAAGTAAAAATTATCTTACCTTTTTCAATTTTTTGTTGAGGTATTGCAGGGGGTATACCAGCCTTTGCACTGCCAAGGGCAACAAGCCAAGCATGGCGCTCATGTGGGGATGGGGCTTTGAGATAAAAGTGCTGCTCATAAGGAATCACAATATCTATTCTCATTGTATCAGTTGGGTGTACTGAAAAATATAAAAATACATAATTAATTTGCATTATTATTATTATTATAATATTCACAAAACAAAGCACTAAACCTGTGTTGGTCATACATATATGCTAATGGTCTAAGTCAGACCAGTGTGTCATCTATTACATATTTAATAAAGATAATGCTTCCTTCACTTGGCAAAAAATTACCAAAAACTACATGACAGTTGGTGAAAGTGATAACAAGTATGAAGAAAACAACTAAATACAAGAAGACTATACTGTATTAATGATGTAACTTAGCATAGCATCTTACTTAAAACAATCTGTAAATAAGGTAAAGGTTTTCTCTTACCAAAACAGAGACAAAATAGCATATTTGTTTCAATGCTTTGGTCTGCAACTTCACATACTTAGCAGTAGAATAAATTGTTATTGTATGAAGATGGTGTACGTAATCAGACTTTTCAGTGTCCAAAATAGAAAAGTCCCTCACCTAAAATTTCACATGCTGAGAGCTTTACAGATCCTTTGGAACCCTGGTTTACCTCCTCCTGTGATTTGTAATATGCAAGAACTCCTTGATCTAAGATAAACCATCTTGGCTGCCATCCTGTAATGTAAAAGTAGAAAAATAAGCTTAGAAATGTTTAAAGTGTTTATATGTTTAAAATACATTTTAAAATCCTCTCTTTCACACACTCACTCATTTTATTTTTTTTTTATTTTCACTGCAATGGCTATGTATATTTTTTTGTGCCCATGGGGGGATGGAGCTATTTTTTGGTACCAAACTTCAGCTAACCCAACCGAACCTAATGTAACCTAAAAGTACTTCTCTTCTAGGCCTAGAATAAAAGTATCCATTGCACAACCTACTTAATGTTGGAAGTTACATCATTACCCATATTTAAGGGGAAATCTGAGCATCTAAACTAAATATTGACCATAAATCCATGGGGCTCATTTAGTACCTGGAGACAGGGAGACAATCAGGTTTGATCTAAGGAAGATAAGAGAAGATTTTGTACAGATAGTTGACCCTAACCCGGAGTGTTAGCCGCCCAGGATAACCCAGTAAAGTCAGTGTGTCATTGGGGATTGTCTTATTTCCACTGGGGTCATTTAATCATGTCTCACATGATACAACCCACAAAAGTTGGCAAATATCCTGGCACCTACTTACTGTTAGGTAAACTAGGGCAGCACGTGTAAAGAAACATGCCCAACGTTTCACCCGTACCGGGGATCGATCCCGGACAGTCAGTGTGAGAGCAGAGGGTGCTACTAACCAAGCCACGAAGATAACTCCAATTCCCTAGATTAACAGCCCTTAACCAGCATTAAAGCAACTTCTGTCAAGGGATAATCCTAAGCTGTTGTAGTTCATGCAAAGTAAATTAAGGATACTATAATTTTGCGTTTCATGAGCGACATGACATATAGACCCGGCACCCATAACAAAGACTGTACTATTAGAAGGCACCATACTGCTATGGAAATACGAATTATTCTCCTTTCCAACCTTAATATTTATCAATAATACGCTTATAATACCATAACAAACATATCCTTGCATGTCCGCAGTACGATATTACAATCATCCCAACTTGCCACATCAACATCTCATCTGTCATTGACCGATACAAGATTAGAGCAAAGAGCCTTTTAACAAGCATTACACAACATCCTTATAATACGACACCATTACACTCATACACCACTAGCATTGAAAGAGTGGCCTGGTCCTTTACTGAATCATTAGTACGTACCATTCCAGTAATTCGTCCATTTAAAAAGAATTCCCTCCATGGCATCGTCCCAGTGACTGCCAGCTGGTGGCTAGTGTTTACACTGCGTCACGACACCTGGCGGCCGCTACACCAACCTTCACCAGCCACGGCCTTACTCAAGTACATACTCCACTAAATCTCTACTACTTGTTTATTTTTAACTGATCTGCCATAACTTGCTTCGCTAATAGAATGTTGGAGTACAGTTCCTGGATTCATCATGGATATTTGTAATTCTTTAATAACTGCCCATAGGATGTATATTAAGTGCATAACAAAGCTATCAAAACTAAGTGACATTTAGTTGTCGTGTTATTACATCTCTTAATGTTTTGTTAAAGATATTGTCGTGTTATTACATCTTAATGTTTTGTTAAGATATTGTAATAGGTTATAAAAGCTGCAAAAGCATTATTACTCGAAAAATTATTATGAATATCTATTTTTAGCTAGAAAAAAAAAAGATATAACTAATGTGCGGCTACCCTGATCTATGACATTTTACAAGATTAAAGTTTCGCAAACACCCATCACTACATGTCAAGTTGTTAGGTAAGACACATATGAAACAGTTAGGTATACTTCTATATACCTGAAAGAATCCTTTTGGGTTAATCTTCGATTCTCTTGCAACTTTAACCTCATAATCTCTTTTTGCTTTTCTTATTCCTTTTTTTTATTTCTCTCCCTAACTGAATATATTGATTTCTTAATTGCCCCTCTCCTCTTTTGATTTGCCTATATATGCCTCTCTTTTGACCAATTAGATGTTTTAATCTATTGTTCATCCATTTAGGATAATTTTTGTTTGATCTGATTTCCCTATTTGGAACATAAATTGTCTGAGCAGCTAGAACTATGCCCTGGAAAACGTCATATTGGCAATCATCACCACCTACCTGACCTATAGTCAGGTCATTCCAGTTCAGCCCACCCAAGTAATTTTTCAGTCCTATGAAATCACCCAAGCAGAAGTCAGGGACAGAGACTTGATTGCCATTATTAGGGTAATTCCATGATATATTAAAACTGAGTGATTTGTGATCACTTTCACCATGCTCATCATTAACCTCCAGATTATTAATTAGTGTTTCCCTGCTGGTAAGAACCAAGTCAAGCAGGTTATTTCCTCTAGTTAGTTCTGTCACAAACTGCTTTAAAAAAACAATCCTGAATCGCATCAAGAAAGTCACCTGACTCTAAATTTCCTGTCAAATTGCTCCAGTCAATCTGTCTATAGTTGAAATTTCCCATTAGCACAACATTTTCGTATGTAGATGCCTTACGAATTTCGTCCCATAGAAGTTTACTGCACTCGTTATCAAGATTTGGGGCCCTGTAAATTAGTTTTCACAGCCCTCGAGAAGCTGTAACCAAACAGATTCAGTGGCTGACGTTCTAATTTTATATCTTGTCTAACATAACAATTTAAATTGTCTCTGACATACATCACTACTACACCATCCTTCCTGTTGACCCTGTCAGTGTGGAATAATTTATATCTTTGTATGTGACATTCAGAAGGCATCTCGCTAACTTTCAGGTTGAGCCAGGTCTCTGTTATAGCAATAATATCTATGTTTCCTGCACTTGCAATTAATCTTAGCTCATCTATCTTATTTCTTACACTCCTGCTATTAATATAGTAAACTTTAAGGGAGCTAGTCCCTTGCTGCCCTCTGCTGTCCCCCTTTGTTTGCTGACCTGATCTATTGTCTTTATTTATAACTTCATGATGAATGTCTTTTATACATTTACTGTTTTCAACCCTAGTGTTGCAACTTGCCTGTTTCTCACACACACCCATACCTCTATCTTCTATCAGTTTAAAATCCTAGGCATTTCAGCAATGGCCCTCTCAATCGAGTTTGCAAGTGCTGCCACCCCTGCCCCAGAGAAATGTACCCCATCCCGTGCATACATATCATGTTTGCCATAAAAGTTGTCCCAGTTGTCAATGATTGGGTTTGCAAGTTCCTTGTAGTATCTGTCTAGCCAGCAATTTACACCAATTGCCCAAGACAACCATTCATTGCCCACTCCCCTTCTAGGCAAGATGCTACATATGATTGGGACCCCTCCATTAGACTTAATTAAATCTATAGCTGACCTGTGCTTATCTAGCAGCTCTTCTTTCCTACCATTCCCAGTATCATTTCCACCAGCACTGAGACAGATAATGGGCTTGTTCCCATTACCTGACATGATATTATTCAACCTGTTGACTATGTCACCAACATCAGCTCCAGGGAAGCACGCTATATCTCTCATCTTATTCCTATTACAGAAAGCACGGTCCATATACGTATCTTACCTGAGAGTCACCAACCACAAGAATGCACTTACCTCTATTAGCAGGGGTAGTAGTACCCTTACCTTCACTGGCCACTGAAGTACATTCATTCTGAAGAACAGAGAAGCGATTTCCTACCTTCAAATCTTCACTCTTAACTATCCTTATTTTGATACTCATCCCTTTACTGGGAACCACTCGCCACTTGTAGCAGGTGCTGGACTGCACCTCACTGCTGGTAGCCGTTACTACCCTCCCACCTACAGCCTCCTCGCAGCGAGTGACAGACTGCATCTCATTGCTAGAAACCTCATTCCCCTCAACCACTCCAGCCACCTCACACTCACTCCTAGACCCATTGAAGTGTACCTTCAGCCTCCTAATCTCCTCCTGGAGAAGCAGGACTTCCTCCTTCAACACCCCAACCTCAGATCTTAAAACCGTGCAAAAGCAAGCCATGGCTTTGTAACCGTCCACACTAATCCCCAAAGTAGCTCAGGGTCTGTGACCTCACGTGACGACTGACCACTGACGACTGACCACTGACGACTGGCCACTGACCAGATATGTTGAATCAATGCCACTCCAACATGCCTAAACTGCCAAATGCCCACTAAGAAAGGAAGTACTGTCTAAGAAAATCAAAGAAGCTAAGAAGAACAACCCAAAATCGCCGACATATGCCGCCATAACAAAACTTCAGTCTGACACCACTAGAATTCTTCAAGCCACACAACAGTCCTCTCTTCCCAGCAGCTCCCTCTCTCCACTTCCGGACGCGGCTCCCTCCAAGGTGCTGTATTGCATGATGTATGCGCACCTTGCTAATACAGCCAACCCGGCACTTTCAGCACCACCTTCAGCCGACATCCTCAAGATCCTTCCCAACGTCGTGAACTTTACTGCAATTGCAGACCTCCTTCTGCCCAAGCAACTGTTCCTGAATCTTCTACAACCACTTCCACCGCCGACAAAACTGTTTATTCTGCCTCAACCACCGCCTCCCAACCTAATGATACACCACCATTACACTTCTCCACTGTTCCTGCCGACCAACCGTCACCTGCCAGCACCATTGTAGACTCAAACACCGAATCCATTTCTGAAGTTGTTGATGACTCCAGTACGCCCTCATGGAAAAACCTTACCTTTTACATTTCTCCATCTAACGCTGATACCATGACTTGCACTGAATTCTACAAAGGCCTCGGTGCTGGAACTGTCAAGTTTGCTTGCGAGCTACCACTTCACTTCACACTTACCCAAGTTCTGAAATTCCCCAAGCCTCTACGTTTCACCTTTGAAAACAAGACAAAAGTGTACTACCTCTCTAGGAGCATCTTCAAAAAAATTGAAACCTGCCTCCTCAAACACGTTAATAACACCACCAATGAGCTGCTCTCTGATATTCCTACCTGCCTGTCCTGCGACCTAACCTGCTGCCAGCTTCTCAAGACTCAAGACCTCGAACCACCACACGGTGGCCCCGTGGCCTGGCTGGCAAAGCTCTCGCTTTACACACAGAGGTCCCAGCTTCGATTCCCGGCGGGGTAGGAACATGTCGAAGCGTTTCTTTCCACCTATTGTCCTGTTCACCTAGCAGCAAGTAGGTACCTGGGTGTTAGTCAACTGGTGTGAGTCAGATCCTGAGGGACAAGATTTAGGACCCCAATGGAAATAAAACAGACAGTCTTCGATGATGCACTGACTTTCTTGGGTTATCCTGGGTGGCCAATCCTTTTGGGTTAAAAATCCGAACGGAATCTTATCTTTATCTCGCAAGACTGTTGCAACAGAGCCTGCTACTCCCGTTTCTCCATTCTGTCCCACGAGCGTCTAGCCTCTGGGTTAAGCCTTGGCGCTTTCTCTACGACTGTGGACACTCCTCTCCAACACTGTTCTTCTCCTGTCCCGTCTTCCCAGCTCATCCCACAAAGGGGGTCTTACCTAATCTCTCTTGATCTTGATCTTGAAAGGAGAAGAAGGGCTCTGCATGCCTCTAGTTTACCTCGCTTGCACAAAAAGACTATACCTAATATAACGTAATATTAATGTCTAAGGATACATTATTAATTCTAATATTATTTACTAACAATTTAAACCTACCTAAATCATCCTTAAGATGTAATCTACTAATCTGCACGCTATATTTTTCAATCATTTAATGTTATTGTCGGGCCGAAGGATATGTTAAGGATCCCTGCGACTGCGGCATCTAATTATTTGGATACGAACCCGGCCTTGGAATTTTGGTATGAATGAATTTCCACACTAAATCTAAATGCCTCCACAAGCAGTATACGATATACGTATATTGTATATGGAGGCTAGTACACCAAACGGGGAGTTGAATGAAACTAGTTCTGAGGGACCCACACCATCGTATTTTCTCGGATCACTGTACAACACCTAGCTTTGCTGGGTGCGTGATCTTTGTAGGATTGGGTGGTCCTGTGGGTTAGAGCATCATGTGATTTTTCGCTCACCATGAAACGGGCCAAACGACATGGGTTCGAGCCCTCGGCTAATTGCAGTGTTGTTATTATATATTATATATATATATATATATATATTATATATATATATATATATATATATAGGTGAGCACATACTATATATATATATATATATATATATATATATATTATATATATATATATTATATATATATATTATATATATATATATATATATATATATAGTATGTGCTCACCTATACATGGCTGCAGGGGTCTATTCGCAGCTCCTGGTCCTGCCTCTTCGCTGGTCACTCTCTCCCAGCTCCAAGAGCCTTGTCGTACCTCTTGTGTATGTGCG